CAAAAGATATGAATGAACGAGGCGGAAGTGCGCATCGATTATTCCTATAATAATATGGTAGTTTACGTTGATAATTAAAATAAAAAACTTTTCGAGGAAATTTGAACTATGGAGTGAGGGTAGTTTTTGTTTGAGGAGGTCAGAGGAGGGCGTGGTTTCGTTCAATGTAACCTCGATCTGTTTTTTTGTGAACAAGTTGCTCAGGAGTAGCGATAATATTTTTTTTATCTGGAATTCCTTCGCGCTGTTCATCTATGTTATTTACATATTTCGTGGTGTTGTACAGAGTTCTCAATTTATTTGACTGAAATAAAAAATGAACGGTAACTTTTGAAGGATTCAAATAAGGAAATACCTGTACAAGACACAACACTTCTGTTTTCTCTAAAATAAGTGAAATTGAATTGTTCATGTGGATGGATCAACATGAGAGAAAAAATACTCGAAGCAAGAATTTTTTTGAAACTGTTACATGGTACAAATTGAAACAAGGAAAAAACTCTGACCATATCTGATTTATTCTTTTATTTTGTTGCAGAGCTGGAAAAATGTCTGAAAAATCTTTCAAAGAATACCAGAAACCTAAAATGTCAAAACACCAGGTTTATGCCAGCAAACGCCTGCATGCTGATGTAAATTTTAATTTCAACTCATCTGCCTAAAACTGAAAAAAATACTAATCTGAAAAGCAAACAGTGGCTCCCAGAATTTCCTGTTGGAGAGTATTGAAATTTTTCCTTGAAGAAAAGAAAAGTGAGACCCCCACATGCGGACACCTTGACCTGCGGACAATTTGACTTGGGGACAATTATTTTATCATTAAAAATTAATGAAAAAAGGCCTGACATGAGGAGACTGACTCGACATAGGGACATTTTGTTATAAATTGCAGAAACATTTCAGGCCAAATTACAAGAAACATATATTTCCAACCCTAAAACTGAAGTAAGAAAAGGTCTTGGGCATTTCTCTCACCAATTTACCATCCATTTAGCTAATTAAAAAAAAATACCTCCAGCAGAGAGGGACTTCCTTCTCTCTTTTCCACTTGAATATTATTTTTACAGAGAATACCAACATTTCTATGTACTGTACAGAGGTCTCAGTATTCAATTCCCCAAATGCCCATATTGTGTTGAAATTTATTGATTGGAAGCAGTTTAAATTGGGAGACCCTTTTTATGTTCATGGAATTATGGTGAGTATTTTGTTCATAAAACACCAAGCAAAAATTATATAAAGTAAGTTGAAGGGAAAATGAGACTCAACTTAGGGACATTTTGACTTAGGGACACCCTTAATGCACCAATTACGTCCGCATCTTGGGGTCTCACTGTACAACTTACTAACTTTTCAGCTGACAAACATCTCCTTGAGATGAATGGGTTCATTGCCCATAAGAGGCCAATACCCATAAGTATAGCTTGATTTGTTTCCATATCTCTTCCAAATAAAAAAAAGAAACCTTAAAAGATGTCCTCCTCTGCAGAACGGGCCTTTTTTATCAGCAGTTAATTGAGATGACTTGAAAATAAATTTGGATTTAAATTTGATTTGTCAAAAATGTGAGTGAAATTTTTTAAATTTTGGAAACGCGTTGATTATTATACTGAAGACACACCAGAATAAATCCTGCATAAAAAAATGCATTTTTAAAAATTTAGTAAGGCGCAAAACGCAGCGAGAAGTTTTTCCCTATAAACTTAATCGGCGAATAATGTTATCCACTACTGTATTCGGATTTATTGTCGAGATCAAATAAGTAGTTCAGGTGCATAATCACGATTATTATCGCCACTCATTTCTAACAAACAAGGCTTTTTTAAAATCGAGAATATAAAGCTTGATGCCAAAAAGACGAAATAATAATCTTATCAAAGTCTCCAACCAAGTTCACATTTCTGAGTCTGTTGATACACGGTTGGAATTTCGGCTGTACTTGAGCAAACTTAGACTTTCCCCCAGCACCCAAAAAAAAAATGTTTCCTCTAATACTTCCAGGCAAAAATCAACTGATATTTGACAAGGGTGGCGAAGAAATTTGGTCTTATAGCCGAAGCTTGAAAGTTTTTCTTTTTCAGCGGATGTGCTCCTAATTTTTTTCGTCAGAAGATCTACCGTGAAATTTGGATTTTTTCTGATCCTGAACGTTGTCAACTTCATTTCTTAGTAGTGAAATTCTAGCGTTAATTGCAGTCATATCATATTTTAATTTTGACAAATTACGTAGACATTTCGCGCGAATCCATTTTTACAGATCTAACAATATAAAGTCGCTTTGATTTTCACAAGCTGTATCCATATTCAATTGGAAATGCAAAAAAATGCTGGTTACTTAAAATTTTCAGTATTAATGTTTCATTTGTGATAGTGTTTGAAGAGGAAAAATCTAAATTTGATTCATGCCCGAGACGGTTGAATAATTCCATGAAAAAATGGCGTTGGTCAAGTCCTTTGAGGTGCTGACAACTTTTAGAATGCAGTATAAAAAATAAAATAAAATGACATTATAAATATTTTCGATACAAAACATGCTGTACAGTACAGTGCTTATTTTTCGAAATACTGTACCATAAACTTGTACTAAATGGGCAAATCCCTCTTCTAATTAGTTTTCGATATTCGCTATAAAAGAACAAAAAAACTCGTCAAAAGCCGCTCAACCAAAATTTTTGCGCAATGTTTCTTCACGTAAAAAACAGAGGAAAATCAGCACATAATCCAAAATTTGGCATGACGTAATTGTGCCAACTTGACTGAAATTTTCTGCGCTACTAATTTCCTCTGAGAGCTGAACTTTCCCTCTTACATTTCGGAAAGGCGCAAAGCAGTCTCAAGAATAATAAATGCGCCATTTAAGTAAAACGAACAACATTTGTTTTAACTCTTTTGATATGATAGAACGAGGGATTTTAGTCGTGCCTTTGAACGAATGCCATCCCTCAAAGTTCCTTTTGCTGTTCGCGTCTTTCTGCGGGAAAGTGGCTTTTCCCTGGTGCAAATTGGCCTGAAAGTTGCGGCGGCGGCGGCGTCAGCGCCGCCGCCGCCGCCTCTGAATGCTATACTGTACAGGCAAGCGAAAAACCGTTGCAAAAACCCCGGCGCCTCCAGGATGTTTTTCCCTGAGTCATCGCCCTCTTTCACGCTGCGATGAAGGGAGCAGAAAATTGGCTTATACCTTTTGGCACTGTCCGCAAGCAAAAGAAAAAGGGATGCAGACAGTCGAGGGGTGGAGAAAAAGTGAAAGGAAAAAAAAGGAGATAAGAATGAGGGTGAACGACAATTGGCGAAGGAAATGGTTGTTGTTGTCTTCTTCTTTTTTCTTTTTTTTTGGCGGAGGGAAATTAAACCCGGGAGACTGCCCGTCGACAAAGGAAGTGCCAACCGTTGACGCGGGCACTAATGCCATCCCGTTCACCCCTTTGAGTTCGGTTCTTCACGTCTTCCTTTTTTTTGTGCCAATTTCATTTTTCGCGTGCAGAGTTCCAGCAGAAGGTCGTTGGTTCTGCGAGTACAGGCAGGAAAACACTTTGAGCCACAAAAAAAAAACTGCGTGTTTAGGCCATTAAGAGATCTTCTGCGAAGCTGAGCCAGCAGCTGCAAGTCGTGGCAAGACACTTTCCCTGTTCGTGTCGGGTTCCTTTATTTTATTTTATTTTCTGTAAAAAACCCTTTGACTGTGTGTTTTAAACGCACGTATGAGTAAACGGATATGAAGACTTTTAAATGATTCATCCCATGAAGGCTCAGCGTAAGAGTCCAGCATGATGGAAATAAACAGAAATGCTGAAATTTTGGCAATATATTTCGTGGAAGAGTGGAACTCATCTCTTTCCTTTAAACAATGAAACGTTTCGTCAGTAAATTTGCATGATAGTTCAGGCAAGAAATAAAGACTAATCGTTCAAGACCAGGGAAATTACGGACACCTAATATTTTAGTTATTTATTAATAAACAACTTTCTTTTCAAACAAGCTTGTGCAAGTTTGAAGAGTTTTTGCGCTGGACCGCATAATTTTGGCACCTGAGCAGATGTCAAGTATCTTCATGATTAAAATTGAAGATCGATTTTGCAAAGAATTAACTATTTTGAATTTCAGATACATACCATAGGTAGACGAGCATGGATTTTAATGTCACTTCTAATCCTCTTGCTATTTATTTGCACAGATTTTTTTTTGAAAACTAAGAAATCCTGGAAACTTCTCAAAATATAACTACATTATTGTAAGCGATAAATAAGTTTTCTTTAATCACGCCAATGCAGCCATAAAAAATGGGAATAATACAAATGAGAATGGAATAAAATGTAATTTAAAATTTTCATCAACCCTCTCATTGGAAGAACTCTAAGTTAAAGAAACATGTCAATAGGGAAAAAATTGACGCTATAGTTCTTCTTTCATTCGACCTTCTTTTGAATTGATCAGAATTCCTCGGCTCGAATCGCACTGGGGTTTTATTGCACTAAAACAATTTCGCACGAATTACACTCAGTTTCTCGTACACCAGTGCAATTTTCCTTCTGCGGCTTTGATAGAAAAATAACAGTTGCAAATGAAATGTAGTGCCAACTTGCGATCGCATTCCGGTTCCACGAGGATTTTCTCAAGTCATTCTAAAATGTTGTTTTCAAGAAATACAACGGGTGTCCCGTTATCAAGTCTTGAACAAATAAAAGCAGTTTTCTGTGCCAATCTCAACCATAAAAAGAAAAACTGCATGATTTCTTTCCATTTCGATCCAAATAATATTTCCTGCGCAGGAGAAATCTTCTTTCGTCGAAAATGTATATTCCTTTAATGTTCTCGTGGATGCGGTAAAAAATTGAAACGATCAGCATAAGGGATAATTCTGAAATTAACTGCGGAAAAGCAGGAACATACTGTATTTTTTTTACAGAAAGCGATTCCTCCCGACGCAATTCGATAAAATCTAATTGATTCTCTCACAACTTTATCGCTGGACTAATGACTAAAATGACCTTGCATATTTTCAGGCATGATGCTGACTGAATACAAAGCCAAGTGGAAATCCTCTGGATTGATTATAGCGACACTCGCAGTCGTCATTTTCTTCAGCAATTATTACAAAAACTGGAAAGTTTTTGGAACCTTCCGAAGCTTCATCAGAGTCGACAATAACAAAACCAACGTAGTCTTCAATCTGTCTGGTGCCATGATCAGCATCGAGCCGCAAGATGTCGCTTTGCATGGGATTGTGAACTCGAAACTGGTCCTCGAGCCAATGGAGTTCCCGGAAAAGGCGATATACTTGTTGGAAACTTCGGGAAGACCCTTGTTGAGTGCCAAACAATTGTGCAGTGTCGAATCAGCAGCCAGACACAACCCTGAGAACCCAATAGTTGTTTTGGTAGCAGCTCAGCAATTGTTTTATCCCACGTTGGCAACGCTGATCCGATCACTGCATCCCAACGTTCGTTTTCGGCATCTCGATTTTCACGAGGTTCTTTCCAATTCTGCTCTTAGTGATTTGAATCTGACGGACACTTTGAAGAGAAGCAGGTAATTTACTTCACGGATGAGAAAGAATTACTTTTTTTCAATCTGGTAAAAAAAATTAGAATTTCCAAGCGCGAGATTAGGAATTTAAATTTAAATAATCTTGTTTGGAATCTGGATCAAGGTTCTTGTGGATTCAGTTCTTAGCGTTTGGAATCTCACGGATATTTTAAAAATAAGCAGGTGATTCTACATCCCTGAGAAAGCATGATTCCTTTTAATTAGGTATACACATGAAGTATTTCGAATTTAGTTCAATTCTGAACTCGAATTCAGCTCTCAGTGATGTGAATCTCACAGAAACTTTGAAGCGAAACAGGTTATTTTATTTCACAAAAAAGCATGAATCGTTTGAATTTGGAACAAAAATTTGGAATGTAGCAATTTCAAAGTTTTTCAGAAGATTGAAACAATAAGCCAGTTCAATAAATACACCCATTTGTGAATAATGGTTTTGAATAGGAAATTGAAAATTTCCATCCACAAGAAGATAACAAATCTTTAATTAAGTAAAAAAGCACAAATCCGTGAATCCTTGAATAAAATAAGCTTTCTGAAATCCCCTTTCATCTGATATATTTGGAATAAAATTATTGGTTCACTTGATTCATCTCAATACATTGTACAGTGAGACCCCCACATGCAGACGCCTTGACCTGAGGACAATTCGACTTAGGGACACTTTATTCCAAACTAAAAATGACCCAACCTGCAGACACTGACTTGACCTGCGGACATTGAAATTTTCAGAAAATTGAATTTTTATTGCCAAATTCCTAGGAACAGATATTCAGAACCATAGGATGGTAAAATATTTGTGAAAAAATTGTTTTAAAATTCTGTCATCATTTTCCCCTCTATTTAACTAATTTAAAAAATTATCGCAAGCATAGAGATTCTCAAGAAAGAAGGGATTTCCTTCTCTCTTTTTTTCTAATTTAATTTTTACAGGAAATGCTAACATCCCATTGTTCAATAGTGTACTGAGGTACAGCATTTTTACTTGGATATTTTTCCCTGTATGTTCCTCAAGAAACTGTTGAAAAAACATTATTCTCAACTTTTTGCTTGACAAAAAGCTAAGTTTTTTAGGTTCATTTCAAGAGGGCTAGATAAAAAAGTGGAAAATGTCCTCTAAGAAGACAAAAACATCTGGGATAATCAGGAATGTGCCAACTGTGAAACTCAAAAAAGAAAGCATAAAGATGCCACAGCTGGAGAAGAAAAAAGAGAAGAGGAAAGTTGCTGAATTGATGGTTCTTAACATTCAGCAGTAGCACAGAAATTGTGCATTTTTTGAATATTTCATGTCCCCAATGCTCCAAACTTTATACATGAGTTGAAAAACACTGATTTAATAATTTTTTCATCAGTAGAATTTTTTTTATCAATTTTAAAAATGGATTTTGATCAATATTTCTTTTGGAAAACACCAATTAAAAATTATATAATGCAAGTCTATGAGAAAACAAGACTCGACTTAGGGACATTTTGACTGAGGGACACTCTTGATACAGCAATTACGTCTGCATCTCGGGGTCTCACTGTATTTAGTTCACACAATATTTTTCGAGTGCTGCACAGAATGTAACAGTAACTGTATAAAACTTTGTCACAGATTCATCACAGAACACGCCAGTGACTTGCTTCGATTTGCCATTTTGCATCAACATGGTGGCATTTACATGGACTTGGACACGATTGTTATGACAAGATTTCCAAACATTTCCAATGGAGTATCGACAGCAGCTAGCAATGGTACTTACTTGAATGGCGCCTTTTTGATCTTCCAAAAAGGACACCCCGTATTGCTCGACTGCATGAATGATATAAAAAGCAGGTAATTTTCCATTTACTCTAACTAAACAAAATTTGGTATTTTTCTTCGAGCTCAGTAAGTTTTGATTTGCACGTGTCTTCTTGAAGCTTCAAAGGAAGCTGATGCAGCGTGTTCAATGCAGTGGGATTTTAAAAGAGCTTTAGTTCCAAAATTTAGGTGTCTGCTCATGGAGATATCTGAATCTGCTTTGCAGGAAAATTTCCCAATGTTTTTGCAAATTTGTAATGTTCTCAAAACACATTTTAATTTTCTTTCATCCAATGTTTTTCTTGTTATTTTATTCTCCCTCAGTATCCCTGGATATAGAACTCTTTTCTGGCCCATGAAAAGTAAGCTCACAATCCACCACACACCTTAACTTTTTAAATGCTGAAGACCAGTCCAATAAATCCTGAATCAAAATTACTGGAAATTCCGGGAAAATCATTGTACATTCACTCTTTTTTTTGCTACTCAGTTTGAAATATCATGCCATTACTTCAAAATTTTGATTATGAATCATATCCAGTTGCTTCCACGTGACATGGTATCATTGCAGCTTGTATTGAAAATATCTTGATTATGGGATGATGTCTACATTAAACTGAACCCTGCACCTACAAAAATTTTGAATACCCTCTTCACTCAACTACCATGTTCACCTTTTTTCTCAAATTTTACCAGGAAAAAGTGGGATGCATGCCCTACTCAGTGTTACATGGACAAAAAGTTTTAGTAGTTTAGAATAGCATTGTATTTGATTTTACTTGGACATTTTGAATCAAGATGAACAGAAAATCTTCTTCTAATGGAAATAATTTAAAGGGAATTGAATTCATGTTCAATTCATGTCTAAATTCAATTTTTGACTGTGCTTATATCCGGGATTATGTGTTTTTACAGTCATTAAAATGAAGTGTGCATCTGACTCAGTGATAGGATTTTTTTTCAAGTTTCAATTGAAAACCCCAGTGTGCATTTTACTTGAGGTTGCAGTGTACTAAGGTATACAGGTGGTACCTCGCAATTTCTTCATCCCACAATTTGATGGCCAAATTTGTTAGGATGTTGACTCACAATTGTACCTCTGCCCCACAAGTCAACCTACAGAGAAATACAAAATGTCAAATTTGATATAGAAACCATTGCATTAGACATTGTCTCACAATTTGACCTCTTCACAATGCAACCATAACCCAGCAATGGATTAGTTTCAAATTGTGGGGTACCACTTTTTAATGGATAAAAAAACTTATAATTTCTTATTTTGGTCCTCAGAGACTCTCCTCCTCTGTGTCATATGACTCACCACCAGTTTTGAGTTGGGCATGACTGGTTCCAATCCTTTTGAGTGTCTCTAAATTTTCTACAGCTTTGACACATTGAACTTCAATGGGAATGGGCCACAGAGGATCACGGACGCCATGCGCAAATGGTGCCACACTCCAGACTTGGAGCCAAACACGACGTGCGGCGACGTGTTTCTTTTCCCCTCGGACCAGTTCTCATTTGTCGACTGGAGTCTCGCCGACGCCGCCTTTGACGAGTTCCCGGAAAATGCGGACGAGTACGTGGCGGCATTGTTGGCGGCCAATGCGACCGTGTTGCACTACTACAATGATCGGTCGTGCTCGTGGGATGTGCGGCTCCGGTGCGACGCCGACGCCGACGGCGGCGGCGGCGGAGACGGCGACGGCGGTGATGGTGGCGGCTGCGGTGGGAATTCTGCAGTCGCCAGAATGGCGAAGATACATTGCCCGATCGTGACTGGGTTCTCTGGCGAGTGGTTGTGGGGGTTCCCTGATTCCGGGCCCGGGATTTTATGATCACTTTTCTTCAAACTTTTTTTTTCTTTAAAATGTTGATTGATAATGAGCGAGAGAATCATTATTATCGGGAATCCATCAGATGGTCTGTTTTGAGTGTAAAGAAAAATATTGAGAACATGGATGGGACCAAATCCGCCGAAAACCTTCTGGACTGCTGGATTCCTACTTTTTTTTCTTTCTTACCAGTATCACAAAAGCTTTTATCCAAGCAAGTGACTGGTTTATAGATATAGCCACCAGAAAAACTAGAATCCGTGGTATTCAGTGAGATTTTTGTTTACAAAAAAGGCGGAGCACCCCATATACTGTATAAACCTGCTGGCTTTATGCGTAAGTCTAGAAAACGAATTCAATTTATTTCTTCTGCTGGGTGGTTGAGACCTTATGAAAATTCCGTACTATCCAGAATTATCCTTGAATGCTACACACAAATCCATTATTTACCCTTGATGAGTGGCACAATCAGCATATTTTTACATAAGCTTGCTGCCCGTTGAATCACAAATTAAAATCTCCCAATCTCATGGAAATATCCAGAATACAAAACTGTTCGTGCAGTGGGGCTGAAAGATGCAGACAAAACAACTTCTCAGACGGTGTCCATATTTTGGAACATCTGCAAGATAGTTTACATTTTCCCGTGGACGTCATGATGAAATTTCATCTCACTTCTCATGTTTGGCAAGAAATTGAAAAAGCATTTCAAAAATATGGAAGAAAACTATTTTGTTTACTTTCAAGTGCAGGAGATAGCAGTACATAACGAAGAAAACTGCACAGAGTATGTCATTTTTGGCAGAAAATGAGTTTAAGAGGTAAATAAAACTCAGATATTGTTTTACTTTACTTCAGACAGTTGATGAAAACTGCTGTGAGAAGAGAAGCAAAAAATTGGCATGTTTGGAAAACATATGAGGGTACATTTAAAATAAGAGTCATTTTGACGGTAAAGTATGTCAATGGTATAATTCAACTGGTTCAATAAATAAAAATTTTAGTTCACTTTTCACTTTTCTGGATATTTTGGCAAATTATTATTCATATCTTGAGATATTGTTGAATTGCTGAGGCAGATTTTAATGTTTACAGTGGACTGTTTATTGGGATATCCATATATTTTGGCCTTGTGGGTTATTGTATTTTGTTTGGCCATCACAGGGTTTGAAACAAAAAGTTTAATAAATAAATGTAGTGCCAACTCAAGTAGTAGTGCACTAGTGCCACAAGAAATCTTTTGTGATGTTTAAAAAAGGGCAGAAATTGAAGTAAACTTGGGCATTTTTCCAAGGATATTGCTGGATTCTACTAGGACTTTTGAATGAGAATCAAATCCCCATGCCATAATAAAGCTCAGGATAAATGTGAAAACTATATTTGGAATTTACATTAGTTGAAAATATATTGCATTGTATGAATGCAATATATTCAAGGAAAATAAAAAAGTGGAAGCTTTTGTGGAAACATTGGTGATTCCTTCATGATGGCACTTGATATAAAACTATCTCAAATGTTCACAAAATCTTGAGGAACAGATGTGATCTTTAGCTAGATGTCATACGCTAAAAAAACTTTAATACATTTTGCCTTGATACAAATTTTAAAATAAAACATGAAAAAGTACCTTTGAGCTTCGAATTATCTATTGTGAATTTTTCTCTTATAAAACACCGTGACACCCAAAAATTCTGTTAGCAAGCTTATTTTTTCCATTATGAAAACCCTGAACTGGACCTCTCTCTCAAAGAATTTTCTTAATTTTTTGCCACACTCTTTTAATGCCACATAATGTGCCAGGAAAAACAGTGGCACTAAATAAGGGTATGCCTGTGGTGAGTTATGTGAGTTTACTCAACTATAATGCTGGGACTATTTTGGCTTGGAAAACTTTACTTGCGCTTCTAATTTTTCCCTGTGTTTCTTTAGAAGCGTTGAGATTTATATTCCTGTGGATTTTATCTTTCCAACTGCATATTGTCTCGTTCGTCTCCGCCTTCAGACAATGAAAGAGAAAATCTCTCGTTTCTCTTCGTCGATGATGCGCCTGATTGACTCTTCGCAAAATCGTTGAAATCGGGAAAGAAAGAGTTCGAGATCAACACGCTCTGAAACAAAGGGGTCGAATGACTCTTGAAAACTCTTCGTGTTTTTTTTTTTTAACAAGAAGTCGAAGGAATTAATTAGCCCACTAAGTCGGCACCAAGAAGATCCACTTTCTTCTCGTCCCGCGTGAAACTGTAGCAGCAGCGGACGAAACGAAACGTGTCAAATAGCCGTGACACTGAAAGCCACTCCTCATCTGGTTGGAAAAAGCGAGGCCATCGTCTTGACCCACTCTGCCACAATGTACCAATTAACGGCCTTCTGTGCGCTTCAGGAGCCGAAGCGATTCGCGTTGACGCAAAGACGAAGGCCTGTGTTGGTTTCCTTTTTTGTTTTTGTGTGGATTTTATGACCCGGAGAGTTTCTATCTCGGAAAACATCATGCCATCAACAAAGCAGTGGCCGTGATTAACTGGCCCTTTCCCCCCTCTGACCTGGTTTGTTTTCTGATGGTTTGTACAGGTGGACTCTATATACCAATGTTCCCCATCCTTTTTGGACCTGAGGGCTGGCAAATTTCCATAAAAATTTTGGGGGACTGGCAAATTCCCCATCCTTTTTGGACCTGAGGGCTGGCAAATTTCCATAAAAATTTTGGGGGACTGGCAAATTCCCAAAAAATTGTCTGCAGACCAGCAAAGTTTCATAAAATTTTTAAAGACTGAAAAAATTTTTGCTTGATAGACTTTATAGCAAGTATAGAAAAGTTTCTGCTTCTTTCAAAAATTAAGTTAAGCAACTACAAAGCAGCTACTGCTGAATGTCAACAAAAACTTGGAAAGGTGAAAATTAATATAATTTATTTCTGTGGGTAAAAGTGGGTCTGAAGTACTGTTATTGGGATAAAAGACAACTTTCATTTTTCAACAAATGCTTTCAACTGCCTGTCTTTCCAAAATTTTGAATAATGAGTTCATTGCTATTTTCTAAGTGTATTATGCTAAAAATTTCCTGCAAACTGACAAAAAAACTTCTGCAGACTGGCACCAGTCTGTGGACCATGGTTGGGGAAAACTGCTCCATACCATTGTTTGGCATCCTTTTTGGGCCAGAGGACTGGCAAATTTCCAAAACAGGGTACTGGCAAATTCCCCAAAAAAGATCTGCTGACAGGAAAAGTTTCATAAGTTTCTTGCAGACTTGACAAAATTTTGCTTGGTTGATATTAGGCAGGTATTAAATACAAGAAAAATTCAGTTAAGAGTGTCATCAAGCAATTAAAAGGGCGAGCTGGGAGAAAGGCTTCTCAGAACTGAGAATAATTTATTTTAGAACAGGAAAGTTTGTCTGAAGTGGTATCAAGACTCAAGAGTAACGCCAACTTTTGCTTTCATCAAATAATTCAACTGCCTTTGTCCTTCTGAAATTTTAGCTAAAAAGAATAGACTTCATCTTGACTTTTGATGAATTTATTATGCTGAAAATCTTGCAAATAACTTCTGCAGATTTGTGCCAGTCTCTGGAGTCTGGACCATGGTTATTTGGGAAACACTGCTCTTATGCAACAAAACTCAATAAGGGACCAGAAAAAAACATGTTGTAGAGATAATTTCGATGTAGACAACCCCTGTAACATGGATAGAGAAACCTATGGGACCAAATTAAAATCTGCACACAGCCTTCCAGAAGCAGTATGCTAATCCATATGCATAGAAATTAGAAAAATTTTGAGAAATGCTGAGAAGCCAAGGTCTAGGTTATAGGCCATAGTTTTTACAACATTGTGCTGTAACATTTAAAAAAATGGGATTTTCAAAAAGTCTCGCTAGTCACATATGCGAGTAAATGAAACAAAAAGGTTAATTTTTTCTTCCACGGAAATTTGTCAAATTGAACGCACGGGTTGTTTCAATTTAGTGCAATCCATTCATTTCAAAGGTTACCAAAAATGACCAACTAATTTCATAACTCTAAGGATGATGATTACCGTACGAGTAAATTTCTTGGATTTTGTTTTTGTTGATTTTTTGAGGGATTGATTTTAAAGCTGTATGGCCAACCGTTTTTCATTCATCTTAACATGAGCGGGACCCTTTTAAAGACATCAGTAATATGATATTCAAAAAATGAAATAAGAAATTATGATTTTGTTAGCTTTCAAGAATTTCAGCATGCGATGTGATAAAACATAAAACCGCTGCTCATGTAAGTTATCAATGGAATCAGTGCTCTGAAAGAAGCCTCAAAAATTTACAAAGAGAAATCAAAAGCCGTAAACTCTATACAGTTCTCAAATTATATTTGCTGAGCGTTTTTAAAAACCTTGGAAATTTTTTTCTAGCAATATTATACTGTAGACCTGCATGAACAGTATATAATGTCATCACTTTAATAACAAAAGTCATGGATCTCATGATAAGTCACTACAGCTCACAACTGAGAAGGTTAATCCTGTATTGGAAACATACAGAACTTAGAACTTGTTGCTTCATATCTGCTGTGCAAGCCACTGTACAGTATTTTACTGTACTGAATGATGTTTCTAAGGGCACCTGTTTCTAATGTCATTTTCTACAAGGAGCGACACCTAGCCTAACTTGTGTTTCAAGTAAAACCTTCAATTATCAATCAACATCAAGGATGCCACTTTAGGTAGAAGTAAAATGCTCATCTCCGTTACCGAAATTCAAAATTGAAATCCTGATCTGCTTTCCATTTCCCTCACAAGATTTATAAAGCGTTTAAATTTACATCACGCTGTTGCTTTAATTATACGTTTTTTCGCTCTTCAATTATGCCCCCCTGCACTTTCCGGTATGATGCTTCAAAAATATGTGATAAAACAGGGAGTTTGACTTTCTGCAGGTTCATCAGAAAAAAAGGACCCGAAATAACCTGCCCTAACAGGCATTTTTGAGGTCTTAAATTTGAACGGCAAATTATTTGCGGTTCATCTTGGTGATTCGGAAGGATTTGTCTTCTATGAACATATTGTAACCTGCTACAAATAAAAGCAGCCATCGTGAAGAAATCATATTTATTTATCTACCCCAGGGTCACGCGAAGTATATAACAAGCCGTTTTTTTTTTTTATAACAACGCCAGTATTTCCTACGAAATGATCCCAATCAACTGTTATATTTCAGCTGAAAAGAAGAACTAATTTAGCACAATGGAAAGCTTTCACCAGCCACTTTGACCACTATTAGAAGAAAAAACAAACAAACAAGCAAAGCAAGCTTTTCTCAGGTTCCCACGAATCAACAATGGAACGAAATAAATGAAAGGAAAACCATCAGCCTGTCGCCAAAAAGTCGTGACAAGTCCGACAATCCGTGGATCGACGCAGAAACCCGTTTACCCGCTTTCTCACGAACTTCGCTGATGAAAATCTCTTGTCCTTATTCCGCAATGTCAACTTGTTTGATGGACGCAAATTGTTGATTTTTACATGCGAATAATCCGTGTTGGGCTGAGCTGCTTATCGTGTACTCGAAATCAAGGTAATTATGAATAAAGGCTACATACTCACAACAATCTTCAGTAAAAGCCGGAGGAAAGAAGAAAAACCTACTTGACGCGGCGGTACAACGAACGAATTCGAGGATTCAATGCTTTTAATTGCAGAACGTAATGAACTACAATCCATGATTCTGTTTTTATGATACATTATTGTGCTAAATAGTGTACACCTCGTCGAGCTTTTTGTTTAATAATTAGTTGTTACGTATGCGTCGGACAATGAACTCCGTTATTGACAATATATTGCATGAAAAACCAAAAAAAATGCTTTAAAAAAACATGGTCTACCAGAAATCATGTTAATAATTAATTAATTTTTCTATATTAGTATTTTCCTCGTATCGAAAAGGGTTTTTCAAAGATGTGTTATCATATTTTATATCAAACATAGTGTTATCGGCAATTTTAATTAAAAATGCATGAAATAAATTTCTCAAGGAAGTGTAATCGGTTCAGTATTCGATTAACCGTCTATGATCAATTATTTTACTTTTGCTCCTCGTATACAATGGTGCTGCGGATAACGGACATCTCTCTATAGTGGCAATTTTCTTGCACAATGCCTCGGGATTCATGTGATGATTTCTTCGTAGAAGGCACCCTACTATAAATAAGAATCAGCAAGAAGAAATTTACTGTACTGTATAAAGTTGCTCTGAAAGATATGGCTGCCCGAATGATTTTTATCAAATGAATGAAAGCTTTTTTTCAATTGTTGAGTCTTATTTATCTTGTTCATAAAATACTTTCGAAGTTATTTCTTTCGTAGTACTGTATTTCATATCGGGCAAAGTGTTTTCAGAACATTTGATAGAAAATACGAAAAAAATCTCCAAGCATTCTATGGACATTATACATTTCCCTTGATCACCTCGTGGACGTTGAACCTCTCTGGAATAAATCAAATTATGATTTCAACATAAACGGATTCACTTCACAAGAACTTCAGGAATTTTCCAGTTGAAGTAATCTCGACTTGCTGGTCGAATGAAATTCTTCCAACCTAAGTTCAGTTTCATTGCGCGTCAAATGTTTTGCACGAAAATCACTGCGATTTCGACACGATTCTCGCTAATAGCACGAAAAAATGGCGGGCAAAAAAATAAAAGATGATATGATTTCATCAGAATTTTTTGCCAATTTCTTTCTCTCACAATAGAGCTCAGCCATCATATTGTTCCGACATGTCTTTATCTTGATTTCGGGCACATCAGGGATGCCATCTCTAGTCTTCATCGAAAACCTGATGTCCGCGGGGGTTGTTTGCAAAAATGTACCCCCACCCCCCCTTGACAACCAATTCCCGTTCCCAGTGCGGAGAAAATTCATTCCGTGCTAAACATCGAAGGCAAACGGACCTAGGAGTTGAAACTTTTCCAAGTGTTCGATGGTTCGGACTAGTGTCAATTAATCATGTGCCGACTCGGTTAATGGACTCCCTTCTGACTCCCTTGAGGAATTATACATGAATTGAAAAAATATATATAATCGCTGAACATATATTTACAAGATTATCGCTGAAACGAGGAAAACAACGCTTCTTATAACAATTGAGTGAACCAATAAAAATAATTTTACTGTATCAACATTTAAAATGATGCTCGGAGCAACTTCAATATTTTCCCAATCCAGAAGGATTTTTTCGAAGCTGTATATATTATCCGAAACAGGATCCGCTGTCCAACGAAAACATGTAATACGTGGAAGAAAGCCATAGCCCTTAATCCATAATCCGCTTATTCAGGCAGCTTTTTTATTTCTTGCCTCTGTTGAAAACTTGACGGGAAAATCGTCATTGTAACTCACTCAACCTTTCAGATGATTTGTCAAAATGAAAACTATGAAATATCAGGAGAAATGGAAAATAAGCTTTAAAATTTAATTTCCACGCAGTAGTAAAAAATCTCTCGGATGATTTAACAATGATAGAGGTGAGAAAGAAAATCAAGATTCAACTGGAAATATTTATGAAAGGAAAACCTTGCTTCAAATTAACTTCCGGGGTGACTTTCAGGCTTTTCATCGAGTTGTTCAAGATTCTCAGCTGCGATATTGACAAGTGAAGTATCAGACTGGACTCGAGATTGGCGAGTCCAAAACAAGTTCATTCTAGCATTAATTATTTATTCTTCAGAAAATCAACTGAGTTTCTCGCAATTTTCTGCGTTTCATTTCGATGAGATGTGGTCGAGTGGAGGTGTACCAAATTCTTATAAATGAGAGTCGCTGAAGTTTTTCTTCAATTTTCAATCGCAGTTTCGGCATGTGGACGTTTACGAGTGGAATAATTTTCCGAGTTACGGATAACGGATTTGAAATTTGGCAAACTTTATTAACAGCTGGGGTGATCTAAAGTTTAATGATTCAAGGAACTTTCTTCGAAACGCGTCAGCGATGGAGACATTTTCAAAATTTCGAGACGTGAACATTTTTTTCTCTGAAGTGAGTGATGAAATGTTATTCGAAGACGTCTACCTGAAGGCTCACTAAACCTCAGCAGATTTGAACCTTTATTAGCCGTCCTTGAAAAATATTACAAGAACAATCGTTCATTCCATCAATATATACTTTCTCGAGTTTTCACTGCGAAGAAAGAACTTTCTATCTGCAGGGCCGTTGAATTGTTCAGACATTTTTTTTCCACGTAATTTGAAAAGCCAAAAGCGAGGAAGTTTTGAAAGTGATTCATTTGAATACCTGTGATGCCCGGTTTTGATAATGAACTATACTCTAGAACAGATTTTTAAAATTGTGGTTGTTTCTTTTTAATTGATTTTCAACTGAATATCTGGAGGTTTTTGATCACGATTTATGATTGAAATACCGAAACATTCATGACACAGAGAACGTTGTCGCAAACCTGGGCAAAATGCGCAGATTTCATGCTCCAAGTGTCTTACTGGGGTTCCTGACTGTGGGCATATCGTTGGTAACCTCTGAAGACCAAGGTAAATCAATCAAGTCATTTATTTTCATTTGTTTTCTGTGCATTTGTATTTTTAAAGATGTTTTAAATCAAGCCTCTAAGCAAGATTCTTTCCCGATGAAGTTAGCTTCTCCAAATGCAAACTGTATGTTGCTTATCGATTCTGACTGTTGACCACCCCATATTTCACAGTCAAATCTAGTTAAAAAGAAGCGTTTGAAACCAAAAAGATTTATTGTAGAAAGAAATTCGCTAAAATGAAATAACCTTGTGCGTATTGGATAGTGACAGAAAATCCAAATTCAGTGTAAAAACCCTGATTCGTCATTAGATTCGTTGCAACGAGATTCTTCTTTGATCATTGAATTCTGTATCTCCATCACAGTAAAGTACACTTACGATTATCCAGACTTTGATAAGCCTTAAATACAATTGATCATGCCGAGAATATGGCTTATTGAGTCAAAAAATCAAAGGAATCTACCCAACTTAATCTGCTGCCTTTTTTATGACTAATAAAATGTTGCAGATAAGACACATCAAGGTTTCAAAAAATTTCATCAGTGTGACAATTGGATCAGTGTTCCCCAACCTTCTTGAGCCTGCAGACTGTCTATGTCCATAACATTTTTTGCAGACCAGCAAATTCCCAAAAATGTTCTGCAGACTAGCAAAGTTTCATAAAATTGTTACAAACTTCAAAAATTTTTGCATGATAGACTTTATGGCAGTTTTATAAAAGTTTATCCTTCTTGCAAAAATCAAGTTAAGCATGCATGAAGCAGCTATAGCTGAATGGGTGGACGGACTTCTCGCCGGAGCTCACATGTGAGCTGCCAAATTTAGGCTGCTCCCCCTTTCCCCTGCCTCACTCCCTGAACCCATCACTCTCTCTTTGAAGAAAAATCATGAGAGACTTCAGAAGGCCTGTTTGAATACGTATAAATAGTGTAATAGGAGAAGTACTATCAACAAATATAATTAATATTCATTTTTATGAACCTTATGGCTTTACTGAAGGTTCTCTTTTCATTACTCTGATTATAAAAGTTGAATTCTGAAGTCTCTCATGATTTTTCTTCAAAGAGAGAGTGATGGGTTCAGGGAGTGAGGCAGGGGGAAGGGGGAGCAGCGTAAATTCGGCAGCTCACATGTGAGCTCCGGCAAGAAGTCCACTCACGGCTGAATGTCATCAAAAACTTGAAAAAGAGGGATTAAAGAAATGTTCCTCAGAATGAAAAATTGTAATAATTTTCACATTTTATTCCATGATTTCATACTGCCATGTCTTTCCAAAGTTTTAGATAATGATTGAGTAAATTGCTACTTTTAATGAATGTATTCTTTTTAAAATTTCCAGTTAACTGGCAAAAAAACTTTGACAGACTGGTGTCAGTCTGCCAACCATGGGCTGGGGAACACTGAATTAGATTACTTTGAACTTGGTGCCTTCTTTTGGTATAAATTTCCGTTAGGATCCAATCATATGTGTTGGACAGTGGCAGCCTCCTTTCCATCCCAGGGCAAAGTTGGACTTTTCCCTCATGGGTGTGCATTATATTTTTGCACAAGGTTATGCAACCCCTGCCAGGTGTGGGAGGGCAAAGTTGGATTTTTTCCAGGGATAATGAAATGCTGGGAAAGTCCTGAGTCAGACTTTTTCTGTATTGACCTCCAACTTGGGCTCCTGGCTTTCAAGCTTAAATTTAATCTTTGAATGGGGAAACAACACAAGGCCAGGGAAAAAAAGAGAGCCTTGAAGCTTTCATTTTTTCATTTTCAGGTGAAATTTTTCTGTGGGAAATTAAAAAAAATGCCAGAATTTTTCCGGACTTTGCCCTGCACACACTGTTGAGGTTTTTTTAAATTCCACTCTGGAGTGCCACAAAAATCTGCAAAAAAAGTCCGACTTAGCTGCAGAAGGGTTAACTTATAAGTATTGTAGTACATTGATTTGAAATTTTAGATAAATGTATAAATTTAACTAGGTTTTCAAGTTACAGACTATCTCAGTTCTGGTGGACGGACTTCTCGCCGGAGCTCAACACGCTCAGTTCTACTGTGGTCTTCTTTCCTTTCAGCTTTTTTCAAGAAATATAAAAGCGTTCAATTCTGCTCAGTTTTCATCCACATTTTCTACAGACATTGCTGTTGCAGTTCTGGGTCTTTATATTTCTTTACATTTATACTTTTTGACAATATTTGCAGGATTTCTTTACATTTATGTTAGATGGAGTAGTTTCTCTGAGGGCAGGATCTCTAGATTTAATACAATCTGAAAGGTGAATCAAACCTCATATGGGGACCCAGCATGTCTTTCAAAATACGACACCACAAACATGATAATGGAAGCATGAAGCATAAAATATGCAATATACACACTAATCATCAGCCCACTTTTTGACAATATTTGCAGGTTGTCAGCATGGCTCGGATGCATCCACTGCTTTGTGGTCAGCAGCAAAAAGTGGCGACTTCCAGAAGGTTCAAGGATTGCTCCAGTGTTGTGCAGATCCATCATATTACTCCAAAACAGGAAGTCGAGCTCTTCACGAAGCTGCTTTCAATGGACACATTCCAACCATTAAACTCCTTTTGAAATATGGTGCTGACCCTAATTCAAAAAAGACCGATGGTTGGGCACCCATACATCTTGCAATTCGGAAAGAAATCAATGCAGTGGCTGTGGTCAAGGTGAAAAACATAAATAGGAGTACAGTATGGGACNGGTTGTCAGCATGGCTCGGATGCATCCACTGCTTTGTGGTCAGCAGCAAAAAGTGGCGACTTCCAGAAGGTTCAAGGATTGCTCCAGTGTTGTGCAGATCCATCATATTACTCCAAAACAGGAAGTCAAGCTCTTCACGAAGCTGCTTTCAATGGACACATTCCAACCATTAAACTCCTTTTGAAATATGGTGCTGACCCTAATTCAAAAAAGACCGATGGTTGGGCACCCATACATCTTGCAATTCGGAAAGAAATCAATGCAGTGGCTGTAGTCAAGGTGAAATACTGTACTTGAATACTTGAATATGACGGGAAAAAAGTGGTACAGTACAGACAAATTTACGGTAAAAAAAAGACAGTTCCAAAAAGAAAAGCAGAGCCTGTTTACTATTTCATGATAATTGAAAATGATGATTTAAAACAATGATCAGCTAAGTCTGATGAATCTGGCCTCATTATTTCAAGGGAGCGTGCTGAAGTAACATTGACTCATTTTTGTGTTTTACAGTAATATTATAAATCATTGTAAAAATGTGAGATAAACAATTCTCTTGCGTGATTCAGGCTTCAATGATGTACAGCACAGTGTATTTAATGCAGTACTGTTTTTTTTAATGAAGGAGCTTTTGCATGGAGGGGCTGAGGTCAACCTGGTGACCAGTGGTCCAAGCTTCACAGTGTACGACATCGCGCGTAACGTACAGATGTCGCCAGCAGTGATGGACTTCCTGAGAGCCAACGGCGGCTTGGCGCTGCATGAAATCGCCGCCAAGTCCTCCCGTGATGCGCGTCCTTACTCCGGTTCTCGACTTCATCTGGCTGCGCGTTATGGGGACACCACTGCAGTTCGGGACTTACTCAAATGTCCAGAAATGGCAAAGCAGGTGTCAGCTGTGGACTCCGCCGGCGCCATGCCAATCCACGAAGCGGCTTTCCGTGGATTCGCTGACATTGTTGAGGCGCTGCTGGAGTCCGGGGCGGATCCAAATGCGCGGAAAGCTGATGGATGGGCGGCGATTCACTTGGCTGTGCGGCCGCAGATTCACCCAGTGCCGGTTTTGCTGGCGCTGATTGAACATGGCGCTGATATTGACTTGAAGACTAAGGAGGGCTTGACAGCCGAGCAAATGGCGAAGCAGTATCCGGGAGTCTGCGAGTCCACCAAAACTTTCTTATCCTTGGAAGGTGAAAAATTATACGTTCAAATGAAAAATACAGTTTAAGGTTGTCCTTAATACAGTTGAAGATTGTCCAAATGTTAGAACGGTAAAATCAGACTTTCGTTTTTCTAATATTAAATGCAATAAAATATATTTAACATGCATATTCAAAAACTTCAAATTATTCTACAACTTAAGGTATGAAGTACACTTCAGAAATGCTGGAGTGAGTTTCTGTGAGAATACGGACTGCTGGCCAAGAGGATTCTGAATTGTTATGGGTTAGTCCAGAGCTTATATAACATGTGAAAAATACATATATGCCTTGGATACAATTCTAAGTCTAAGAAACATTTCCTTCGCCATTCCTGACAATTCTTGTCACTTATGCGTGAGAAGGAATCCTAAGGGCTCAATATTTTTGTTGTTGGAAGAATGCTGGGGTTGGAACCCACGACTACTCGTTTTTATTATTTTACTTTGTTAGTGGTTTAACTCTACCATTAAACCACTCCTTGATAAGTCCGAAAGACAATTCCTGATAAAACCTTCTTGAACTTTATAAACTGTCCCAAAGTGCCTGAAGAAAGTTTTGAAGATATTCTAGGATAGCACTTGCTAACTCAAACCTCCAGAAGTAAAAATTCTACTGAAGTCAAATGCGTTTCAAGCTCCAGTTTGAACCCCTATTCAGAGGAACAATGGATTAAAAACCTTCCTAGCTGGGGCTTTCTGACTCGGGCCTCCACAAATGAATTTTCTGGAGGCCCTCTGGCTATTATTATATAGAGGCAGGAAAGAGAAAAGCATTAATGGTGTTATCGGAAGTGTTTTGAACAAATTGAAGACTTTTAAGGGGCAAAAAATCCTTGAAAGGTACAAGTCGTAGACCAAGTGAGTAAATTCTTCGTTAAATTCTGGTTCTTATAGTGGTTAATTTTATAAGACAAAGAAAAATAAGGAGGTTGTTTTGACGATAAGATTGTTTGAACTATGGAGGAAAACTCAATTTTTTTGCTGTTGTTGTGAAGTAAGGATTGAAGAGGTTCGTGGGTATACTCAGTATATGAGGGATCTAACAAAAGTTCTTGGAACAAAAACTGTAATGGCATATAATTGACCTGAAAAAAAAATATTGCTCAGAAAAACATACTTTGGCAAGAAAGGTTCACCAACGCAGTCCCTCTTCTTCACAAATTTGCTGGTTATCATTATCTTGCTGAATATTTTGAGAAGATTCATATTTTCAGGAATTGATTTGTTTTTTGTGTATCCTCTCTTTTTCATAGGCTTAAGAAAACATGCTGGAAATACGGAAAAACCTTCTGGATCGGACCCTGATCATTCCACCAGTGAAGAGGATTCTGAAAAAAATTCAACATCTGAAAAAAGAAAAATTAACAACAACTGCGTGGAATGCATTTGCAAATTTAGATCGGGCTGTGATCTTGAAATAGGCTGCTCAAAAGGCCTCTGTGGACCTTTCCAGATTTCCGAAGGATATTGGAAGAAGTCAGGATCACTGAAAGGGGGTGATTTTTTTTATTCCTACAAAATGACGAGATTTTTAATTTCTTTTTTCATTCATAGATTTCTTGAAATGTGCAAATAATCTTGCTTGCGCGAAGGAGGCGATTAGAAAATTTGCGGGCAGTACATTTGCTCAAGTGAGTAAATCAACATGCTGCATTTTGAAGCATATATTTTTTTACCCTTTGGACAGTGGCAGCCTCCTTTTGATCCCAGGGCAAAGTCTGACTTTTTCCCACTGGGCCTGCATAACATTTTTGAACAAGGTTATGTAACCCCTGCCATGTGGGGAAGGGCAAAGTTTCATTTTATCCAGGGATAAAGAAATGCTGGTCAAGTCCTAAGTCAGACTCTTTCCATATTGACTTCTAACCTGGGCTCCAGGCTTCCAAGCTCAAATTTAATATTTGGATTGGGGAACAAGGCCAGGGAAAAAAGTGAGCTTTGAAGGTTTCATTTTTTTTCATTTCCAAGTGAAATGGCTTTTAAAATGCCATTCTTGATTGCACCCCAAATGTGCAAAAAAAGTCAAACTTCACTGCAGAAGGGTTAAAAGCAGAGGGTTTGTAATGGGGTCCCCGCGCAAGGAAAGCCCGGGACACGAAAGCCCCACACGACAATAGCCCTGACACGAAATCCCCGCCATGCCCGCTCCCAGCTGTAACGAAAGCCCCAAACTTTTTTTCAGGACTGGTAGTCTTGGTAGTCAGTTTGGTAGTCGCCGCTGGTTAAACTTCATTACTTGGCTACTGATTGAGGGAAGTACAGGAGCTCTTAAAGAAAAACAATGATTTTTTTCAACAATAACAAATTGAAACAAAACAAATAACATAAGATTACAAAAAAATTCAAAAAAAAGAAAAAACGGGAAAAGTGTTTATTTCCAATAAATTAAGAGTCTTTGAAATATTTTCCAAGAAATCCAAATGTTCAATAAGTCGGCTTTGATAATCTTTGCACAATTGACGCAGTTTTTTCTGGCAATCTCTCTCAAAAGTCGACACTTGCTTATGTGGAATGACACCATCTTCGTCCAATTTCTTCAGCGTTGTAGCAACTGATGCAGCGTCTTGTTTCAGGCAGCGAATTAATAGCCAAATGGTGAGATTTCTCTTTCCAACCCGTAAGAAGCGCATTTCTTTCTCTACAGATTTTCTCATAAAAAGATTGCAAAGGCTTGGGTATCAAGGGTATGACTCTGCCAGAGTTGCAGTTGATGGCGATGACATTCCAAGGTAATTTTCAGATTTTGCAACATCCCTTTGCAAAACTGCGTTATACAACAGTATTTAGGGAGAAACTAAAATATTTCTAGCAATAAATTAGTAACTTGATGATTGAGAGTTTCCAAGTTTCACTATTGAAGGGGACAATATAAACATCTGAAATAATTTTAGCAATATTCACTAATTTTCTAGTATTTTGACATCAATTACGTTCGTGGTCAAAGAATCTGCAGAAGAAAGTCAGCTGCTCCAGTTGGACAACCATCAAGTCAAGCACCCAGAAAAATTGCCCCAGTTGTTCTCACCAGACGACCCCCAACATTTTTGCCACAGAAGTGGAACATTCATCAGGCTGTGCTCAATGATCTTGGCAGGACAAACAATTTCAGTGAAGCCTGGAATCGCTATTAGTGTAAATAAACACTTGTCCCGTTTTTTTCTTTTTTCTTGAAATTTTTTGTAATCCTATGTGATTTGTTTTGTTTCAATTTGTTATTGTTTAAAAAAAATCGAAGAGCTGGTGTACTTCCCTCAATCAGTAGCAAAGTAATGAA